AGACCAGATCAGACAGAAAACAGAACTGAGGGCTCGTAGATATTTAACTAAATGTCTAAAAGATGTCTCAGCCATGATTTCAGGTTTTAGTTTTCAATATGTAAAAACTTTAAGGTTATAGTTATATTTTGGTCCTGAACCAAGAAAATGTGTCTGATCTGGTATTTCTCTTATAATTGTCTTGAATAAAACACAGAAGGGATCAGGAGCGGCTCAGGCTGATACTGTTTCATCAAATAATTACAGAAGCAGCACTAAACCTGACTGCAGATCAGTGGAAACAGGTTTTGTTTCTCTTTCAACATTGTGTGAATCTAAATTTCAAATAACAGAGAAAAGAAGGTTCAGAAATAGATTAGGCTTTATATCACCAACACAATCCATCACAAAAAACATAGCTGGCTCTGATCCTGCAGATCCAGGCCTTTAACACCGAGTGCCAATACTTGTAATGTCAGGTGCAATATTTCTCACACGACACTGTTTGAGTCTTGATTTTTTAACAGAATAATGAAGGAATGATGAGAAATGGTTCAGGATTTAAGTAGCTGATCAAAGTTACAGACTTGAGACAAGAACTGATCCTGCAGATCGACAGTCAAAATCCCCAGTAAAAACCACAGCAGCTCAATGGACACATTTTCTCGTTAGCCACAACAACAGATCCAGTCCCTACAAAAATGTTTTGACATTATATGACTGATTTAGTGTATGTTAAGGGTTCAAATTATGCTTTATTGTTATAATTCAATTATTTCACATTTTATATTGGATTTATATGCATTTTTTAGACTACTATCACTGTATAGTTCTACAGACTATATATAAATATATATATAGTCTAAATCATTTTTATTAACAACAGGAAGAAATTCAGGAAGAAACCTGGAGAAAAATAGCGATAGTAATATGTTAACATAAAGTGATGATTCTAATTCTGATGTTGTGTCTTGAGATCATGAAAACACATTTATATATGTACTTTTAATGAATATATAATAGATCAATTTGCATGTTGCAATATATATATTACAATGTCAAATATAGAAAATATACAGACACACCATAATTAAATACATTAAAGCATATATATCTTTCCTTGATATTGAAATGTGACATCAATATTCATTGCAGATTATTGCAAAACTTTATGTTATTAAATGTGATCAAACATGAAGCCAGATCAATTTATCAATATGACACATAACATCTATTCAAACTGTTTGTGATGACAGCAATAAACACTGGGACTATCACTTTCAAACTGTAGAGTCAATTTTCACCAACACACCTCACCACTGACCTTCGGCTATTAATGTTAAAGTAAAAACATCATCACCTTCATCCTACAGTCACACATTCTAAAGAGCTGGATTATTTTTCAATTCAGTTTAAACATCCAAAGCAACAAACACATACACACACAACAACTGGATCAACAACTTTTCATAAGAATCAAATACGTGCTAAGAAATCAGCTGCAGCAGAGAAAAGACAAAGATCTCTTACCTTTTGGCCAAAGATGGAAATGGAGCGGAGCAACAGATGTGGGCAGCAGCTCCGTGTTGGAACTATACGTTGGTATATATTGTATTCCCCAAAAGCAAAGGAAACCCCAGCTTTCTCTTTATGGAAGTAGATTTTCTCACAGACCAATGGGCTCACCAGCAGTTATTATATCTGGCCTCCCCTCTGCTCTTAAATCTCCTCCCTATCTGACCATTATAAATAACCCCCAGCCTTCTGATTGTTTTACTGATTGCGTTATTTTCCCCGGAGCCCCAAAAGGAAAGTGCTCACAGAAGGAGAAGGTAAAAAGAAGAGAACTAGAAGGAGATATTTGTCAATGCACCAAATATGATCAAATATGAACACTGTTATAGGCTTGCTGTTAAGGGAAGGATGACTGTGAGGCAGTTTTTAGTGAAGGAAACCAGGGAACAGCAGTGATGAAAGTTGAGGAGACAGCAGGTGGGAGGGAGTGGAGTTTCTAGACGGTCATTTAAGACACGCTTAATGGAGGCTATTAAGAAGCTGTTAACAGGAGCTGCCAGGGAAGGAGGGAAAGTGAGAGGAGGGAGACACGACAGGGAGAGACTCTCTGAACCAAGATCACTCGGGATTTTTCTGCAGGAAGAACAAAGTAGGAAAGGGCAGGAGGAGTATAATTTTGAGATTCACAATAATGCAGAAGTTGCATTCACTAAAAACAGTGTACTCTATTTATGATGTAAAAATACAGTACATTAAATATATTTTTCCATTCTTTACGTGATAATATATTAGCTGCTCCAAGCAAGAGAACAAAGTAGGAAAAGAAATGACTTGGCTACTGTATTGACTGGTAATAAACTAAAATCAAATTTATTGTAATCAGTGCCTGGAAACAGATACAACAGGTGTTTTCTGGCTTTGCAGTCAACCCCAGAACAACAGCTGAGTACATATCTTTCTTTAATATTTCAACAGTACAAATTATATGTGACTTAAGAAACATGACATGAGAAATACATTGTTTCACATTTCTGAACATCATATTCATTGAGAACATTCTGGGCCACTGAGAAATCACCTGAGAGAATGAGTAAGAAAACCTATTCAGTTTGATATGATGACTGTGACTTGAAATATGCCGACACTCAGTCTACTACAGTGGGCATCAATAACATCGAGAAATATACCGTCTCCTGTCTCACGTCCTGCATTAGTAAAACACCAGTACTGTACACTAATGAATAGCAATTATATTACAGCAAGGACCATTTTACACAGATAATCATGTTTATACTTTTCTGTTTTGGCCCAAATAAAACATCAAAAAATATTCAACATTGTACAACATATTAAGAGAAGAAAAAGTCATACAAAGTGTGCAAATGTCACCGTACGGTCACGAGACAACTTCAAATCAAGGCACCATACTTTTAGTTTCCACTCCTACCACACCGCTCACATCAAGACTGGACTGTGCTGCATACAACTGTCCTGTACAACTGATTCTCACTGAGGCTGCCCAAGTAAGCACATGGAAAAAAAAAAACTGAAATACAAAAAAAGAAAAGCCAATGGCAACATTTTAGCCTTCATTTTACTATTTGCATAACTTTCATTTCTCAGAAAGGTTTTCTAGGAGTGTTTGTTCCCCAATTATTAATATGTTGGTCACTCAGCTTGATTTATCTTTACTGGCTGATGAAATGAAATGAAAACTGATGAAAATATGATCCATCACTTTACCCGGAACAGACCACTAGCAAATTAATTTAGAGCCGCGACTGGACCAACTGATAGTAAGCAAAAAAAATATCCGTTACTTAAACCTTTGGTGGTTTATACTTGTGCTAAATTTTGATGATGGAGCTTCACATTTCAGACTGATACATCTTGTAACCACTGAATTAAACTGCCAGCGAACCTGACTAACTTTCAGGTGCTTGGTTGAATTGTTGTACTCAGCGTTGATAATAGTTTTCAGTGATGAGGATAAAAATTTTAGCCTTTAGATTGAACCATTTGCAAACTACAACCAAACATAGCTAATGAACTGAAGCTTTTCTTTTTGGAAATCACTTTCTGCAACTGGTTGCAATGTATATAACTATGCAAATATCTGCATAGTAGGGTCATATTAGCATCCACAGCAGCAAACCAAGCTGCACTTTACCCTCTCTTAAAGTGCACCTTCAAATGACAGAATGGCAATAGATCATATTAGAAACTGAACAGAAGAAGATCAATATTTTCCGCTGTAATTAATGACACAAAATAAACCAGCATGCATTGGGGAAAAGCAGGTGGGACGGGAACCAGTGCAGATATTGTTAGAGCACAACCTAATGGAGCTAACCTAGTTAGTTACCAAGTTACAAAAAGTACCATTTCAAATATGTCATCATTCCTGTATGTTTGCCTTGATCTACTTGTGTTAGTTATACCAGAATCATCTAGTTGACATAGGACACAATCTGTAAACATTGGGGATGTCAATGATAACAAGAAGGCATCAATTGATGTGATGGTCACTTTTGTACTAAAACAGCAGTTTGGCTGATGTGGAAGAACATCAGAGTATCAGTTAACAGACAGGTACTAACCTCCATCCTGAGTCATCCGAGAATGAACTCTCAGTATCTTTACTCTAGTCAGTGTTTCCGATATACAGACATGGGGTCACTGCCACAATATAAAAATTTGCCTCCACATGTTTTGTCAAATGGATAAATCTTATTTAACAGCTGAGGCCTTTTACTGCCAGGTGTGGACAGATGTACTGAGAGCTGACCAATTGGGATCAGATCTCTCAGGACGGATGTTAACACCAGGTCTGAGCAGGGTGAAAACAGGGCAGATATCAAAGCTCACTTTCCTCAGTACTGACTCAGCTGTGTCATGTATCCAGTTTGGGAACAAGTGCTGAACCTAGATGATTAATCAAGTAGCTGATATAAAGAGGATAAATCAGCTGCAGTTTCAATGATTGAGTGATGTTTTAAGTAATTAATCAAAAACATTCTCCAATGTGAGGATATGCTGCTTTTCCTTTTTCTGTCACTGTCAGTTGAATATTTTGGGGTTTGGGCAAAACAAGACCTCGTGAAGACGTCAACTAAAACCGTGAAGAACATGAGTTTTCACCTTCATCTGATATTTGACAGATTTAAATGATCAATCATTTGAAGAATAACAGATACAATTATGTA